ACCGATACAAATTCGATAGCGTCAAGCTTCGATAGGAGCTCTCCAACATGGGTCGAACCCTTTGAAGAAGTAATCTATATTTGTGGAACGCCCATCGAGGGTTCTAGAACTCCGTTGGCGGTGTAAACAACGTCGTAGTAGCGAGACGAACAATTATCATACACGTGCAAACGTTTTCGGTGGTTGTCGTCCTCGCATATCTCTTCACACTTTCTTCGAAGCGTTTAAAGATTCACTGTATTTGCAAATTTATTGATCCTCGGGGCTAGGATACGTCGCTTGGTAATCGACATAAGAACCTATCGTCGCACATTGGTATGTCACGATATGTCGTCTCGTAAATCCCGCCACGAAGGCTCGCGGATTCCGCAAACGGTGACTTTTTGACATTTCAAGCGTTGCACGCCAGCCGTGAATACCTTAGGAAGAATTGTAATTCGCGGCTAGGCGCGGTCATTAAAAAGTTCGTTTGTTCGAATTCTTGGCAGAATTTTTAGGATATTCGTTTAATTTTCAGACTGTAGCGGGTCCAACGATAACTTGCGATCGACATCGATGTCCTTGGTTTCTAAAAATTCTGCGACGTTAGAAATTCGATTGTAATTTGATATAGTGGCTATGCGCTGGACGTGTGCCAATGAGATCCAATGTTTACTATGATATGCAAATAATACAACCAATCACGATATGCTAATACAAACGAGAAGCCAGACACTTTTAAAGCGTCGGAGATCTAGAAATCAGTCAACCGTACCAGCGGGAGTCGATTATAGTGTTTATTCGATCAACTAATTATCGGATCACGGAACATTGCATATTACGGTTCTAATGCTTGTACTCATAAATTTTTCGTTCTCTGGTAAAATGCAATTAACTTGTCACAATTGAATGAAAAACTGAAGAAGACCGAAGAATACAGTTTTTTCGGCATTGTTTTCAATTAATGCTTGGTTTTTATTTTTTTTTTTTTTCTTTCAAATTTTTGATTCATTTTTCGCAGGCGCCTGTGTAACATTTCTACAGAAGTAAAGAGGTACAATTCCGAATCCCTGATTGATGGGTCTATCATCTTGGCTCCCCGCCGCGTTTGCGAGAGTCACTGTGTTTTTTTCGTTGCACGCCTGTGAAACAAAACGGAGCAGGGGCCGCAGAAATTGCGCGTCCTCGTCTTGCATGTCTTTCAACACATGGGACTCCTTTCTACGCGATTACTAATATTAATTGGAGTTACCGCGCAGACGTGAACGCTAGCGCGTGTATTTGCAATAGCTGTTGGTCCCGCGGCAGATTGCAAAATCAAGGGAGAGCCAATCGTCGAAGGCAGCTGAAAACCGTTTGCTAAACCAGTGGTTCTTAACCTTTCCGAACACACTGCTCAGTTTTGAACATCCAAAAACAAATAATTGCTACTCGTAGTAAGACATTTTGTTTCTATCTCAAAGTATCGACTAAGGGTTGATCATCCTTTTTAGAACGAAAGAACTTTGATCTTACCTGTCTTTAATTTAATAATCGCAGAAGGAAAATTTAAAACTGAACTCAACTTAAATTTGGGTTTCTGACTAGTTACGAACCACTGTCTTTCCTCTGCCCCTCGATCCTTGCTACCGCGTGAAAAATTGACGTCGACGACGAAGAAATTGCAACATAGGTTCAAATAGCTGCAAAACGAGCGACCATGCTTGCGCGCAACCAATTGGCCGCGACATCCTTCGGCGATAGGTAAATCTTGGTGATCTTGGCCAATCTCGATATCGACCGTCGATCTCGCCTGTGATTGTTTGCTCGACTACCGACTCGCGCAGGTGCTAACGTTCTCCACTTAGCAATACTCCCGTGAAATTCTTTGGTTTTAGGTCAGTTATTTTCTGAGTAGAGGGAGCTACCCTTTGGGGAGGGTGGTGCGTTACAAAGTTACAATCCAAGAGGGCCAATGTACAACGCAACTGACGTCGTGAACTGAAAATCACGAAGTTGTTAGTTGTAGAAATGTCATTTGTCTACTTTATTCTGCAGTGAGCTAGACTGTATTTTCATCTCTTTATCTTCGACTTTTTTAACGTGTTCCGTTGTTTGCAGTCCAGTTGATAACGGCCACGAAATTGACGATTATAGATTATTCCACTTTTCTACGGTGACCCGTTTTCGCTGCTCATCGAGCGTAAAAGTAACGCATTCTGCTCTCCAATCGGATGCACGACCGACAAGAAGCGCGAATGCTCGAAAAGAAAATAATTTCGTTTCGAAATCGACCACGTTTTGCAATACGTTTTTCCTTTTTTACCCGCGATACTGAAGAGGTAAAAGCGGATCGCTTCTGTGTGAAACTGTGTGAAACTTCGACGCAACTATAAGACGCAAATTAGTCTTGAGAGGCAAACTAAAGAGTTGAGCAAAGAAAAGAAAATCACGCGACGAAATAAGCAATTACAACGTTTCATTTCACATTTTTTTCATTCTTCATTTTCATATCGCGGCTTTTCCGATGATTTTTTATCATTTGATTACTTAATTGTTCGTAGAAATAATACTAGAGAATTCACCAACGAATTTTCGATTCCTGGATCTATGGAAATTTTCCAAACGATCCCTCTCGACGTCCATTCAAAATTCTTTTTAGTGTTCGCCGATACTCCTTTGTAGTAGTCGTCACGTCCAATAACTTACGAAAGGACAACTTGTTTTAGTCGATTCGGCGATGATAAAAAGAAGCGATTGACGATCATTTGTATTTTCAAGGTCTGAAGGCGACATTTATTAAGAAATGGTTCGTAGGACCGTGCAGTCTTATTATTCCATTTAGCAATTTCCTTTTTTTACTACTTTGATCGTGGTTTCTCCGACATTTTTCCGCTAAACCACAATATTAAAGATGACGCAAATAAATATATCCGAGTTACACTTTTTCAACTGATAATATCATCCAATAACATTTTTATGTAATTCTAACCATAGAGGGAGTAAGAAGTAGTTACTGTCTGGTCTAACGATTCGATGTAACGGTTCAATAAGAAACAAAGTAGATTTTTTAAAGAAAAAAGGCCCGAAGGTGTTCGTTGTTGGTGCTTGTTCCTTATATGTACGAAGTATCGGACAGAGAGAGAAAGGAGAAATGATGCGGATTCATTATACAACTTTCTCAAGTATGCGTGATGTAATCTTGGTAGATAACGTTACCATAAACTGGTGATGGCTGGATAGTGGATAGCTACTGTCAATGCTGGATGCATTGCTTCAGCATTTAATAGACAGGCATTTCCCGTATCGTACTTTCGCCGTTATTGTTATTGCGTCAGAGATTAGTCGCGCGCGTTATTTCAGGTTCGTTTTCTTCAAGTTCGATCCAGTCCATCGACCATCGATGATAAATCAAGCTCGTGAGGAAAGTCACGGCAACACGAAAGTTCAGCAAAATATCGAAACTTTCTAGAAACGTGTATGCTGGTAATGTAACCATTTTTTTGGGAATAAAAAGAACCTTATCGTAGTACAAATATATGAATGTATCTGTAAATGAAATAAATAATGTCAATATTAGAATCACGTAATCAGTATGAACAGATATTGTAGATTATAATTTTTATTATTTACATGATTGTGTAACTCATAATCAACTGTGGACGTGGCGTCGTGGTTTAAAAAAATTGCAACTAAAGCAACTACATTTACGCAAGAACGATACTGTTACGGAAGGAATTTTACAATTGCACCCTGGTCTGCCTTGCGTGCAAAAGTTGTCTGATCGAGCGATACATACATACGTTAGCCTAATATCAACTAGTGCTTTCCACCCGAAAGACTGATATTCGCACAAATAATTCCTAGTCAAATCCGCTGCGTTTTCAGTTACGTTTTAAAATATCTTCACGTTACTTTCTTTCAACGCAATTCTGGGCTACAATGGGAAGATTTTACGGATGGCGAAGCCTTTCTCAAATTCGATTCGAGCCTCTTTCTCACTGCTAGCATCATTCACATAAGTCACTCGATGTCTTCGCAACGTTTGTTAGTTCGTAAATGGAGGTCACTTAGAATCCACGATATTAATACTGATTACGAAAATTGCAGGAAGCTATCGATACTGTTACCTGAACCGTTACAAACCTAGGTATTAGTGACGTCAAGGTAGGGCTTTTAAAATTTCGTATATCGTACGTGTGACATGAACGGTTTTAACGTAAATTTCCTCAAAAACAACGCGTTAATAATTTGTTATAAAAATATCGAACGATTGAGAAATTAAAGTAGAACAGCTGGGGCTAATTTTCCGCGATAACTGCGAGCATCACTTCATCGTAACTCCACAGTCACCAGTTGCTACTTCCAGTCAGTTGCTACTTTACAAATTACCGTGACACAATATCGCAACGCTCCCGCGTGTCTTCGTTTGCGGAATCGTCGAGGCGGAGTACCTGCAAATCGCCTAGAATCGACAGCTTCCGGCGATCATCGGAGTCCTTCTCTGTTGACCAAACTCTACAGAAAACAGGGCGCTTGCATTCCAAACCGTGTATTCAGGGTCGCTCGAAAACTCATGCTCGCTCATCCATTCGTTCCAAATATTTCACGACGCTTATAGTTCCCTCATACATTTTTCTTTAAATCTCTGTATATATACCATATTTTCGTTTGCTTTCTCGTGCAACTTCGATAAGAAAACTTCAAAGAGACATGCACTTTTTAAAAATTTGCCCTGGCATAAATTTATTCTACATAAACACCAACAAAATTTGCTAGACTTACGATGTCCCCTCAGAAGAGACATTCGAGTGCGAAGATTTAACGACCTCCCGTGCATATGATACCCCGAAATTTGGCTTAAAGGACTACTCGCGCCCCACCAAATCGCCTATCGCGGCTTATCGTTTGATTACCCCACTTCTTACACCTTTTCCTACTACCTGCGTGTAGAAAGTAACGGCGGCGTGGCGCGATCGAGCATCTCAGTCCGTCAGGAACATTGGATCGCGCGAGATCGAGGGTCGACGAGTGTGTTCCCAGGAAATCGTTGATCCTTTCGCGATCGGTCGCAGTGGAGTTTAGAAAAGCGATTATCGACACCAACCCCAGGAGGAGTCGTCGATCGTGTCGGACGACTTTGTCGCCGGTCGGGGATGCAGCTGTGACGGTTGGATCGTCGTACGATTTTCTCCGAGTCAGATCCTCCTTGGTAAGAACCGACATTGATGGATTTCTTTTCTGACCCACTGTAATCACCTGATCGTGATCCCGATTCCTCTGATTCTACTGAGAACGCGCTATTTCCGGTCACAAATGGATTCTTGTAGAAGGTTATCTAGTTAGTTATTTCGATGTATCCAAATTTTATAAAAATGTGAGATTGTCTCTTGGGTAATGGTCCCTGTCAGGCGATTGAGATTCTATCGTACGAGAATTTGTAGCGTAGAGGATGTCCTAACTCTCGACGAAACGGCTCTTGTCAATCATCCCCTCGTCAGATAGAAGATAGATTTGTAAGCCATAGCTACCTTAAGAGCCATATCTACCGTATGTGGAAATGGTTGAAATTGATTTCGTTCATGAAATTCTGATCATACCAACACTTACAACCTAACGAGTCGAGTTCTACTCCCAATCTCGTAAGGTTTAGCTTATACAATAACTTTCTACCGCCAAGCTGAATATTACTTCCTGGAGAGGTCGAAGTCTCCCGAGCTTTCCGCAAAGCCGAGAAACAATTTTCCACCGCTTGTCGTTAACCTAACCTCAATTAATCTCTCGTGTGGCGTCGCTCTCATCAATCGAACGGAAGTGTCCTTGCAAGGTGTTTCATTCAGTACGTTTCCTGGCGTATCTCTCGCAACCGGTCTTTCTCTCCCAAGCGTGGCTGACACTATTCCCTGCGATCCTCGCTGAAATCGTCAACCGGTTTTCTGTCACATCTCATTGGCTACCAGACTCTATCGCAATACCGTTACTACGAAATTTGTATCACTCCATGCGTGCAAAGAGAACGGAATACTACCCCTGTGAACTTGCTTTGCGGTTTGTTTCTCTCATCTTCTGATAGAGACACCGGGCTTGCCGTGGATTCGAGTCTGCAACAGTGAGCGAGCTATTACGCAATGTTTACGTAAGGAACGTGTATGGGTGACGATCTTTAATCGCACGAATCGGTTTTGGAATTATTTATCCTCCGACACGGAACAAATTTCATCTCTCGAGCAAAATGAATCTCAGAAAAATGTATCGATAGATAATATTATTGCTCGCGTACATTGATTTCCTGAAAGCTGTTAGCGTAACAATTTTCCACCCTGATTTTGATCATTTCTATTTTTTCGACAAGGGTCATTGGTCAGCCGAAGAACAATGTAGATCAGTCTACAATAAGTCCACCATTGGGATTGATTCGTTTAAAAGTCTTCCGCGTAAGTCGAATACCGCACAGGTCGAATTACGTAAGTACCATGTATGTATTACGAGGAACAAGTAAGATCAGACTTGAGTTGAGAAGAAAGTGGTACCATGAGTAAAGGCAATGCAGAGAGTAACAACCTATAGTCGCAGATCTTATGAACTTGCGATACAAAGCAATAGTTGTTCGCATACCTCGAAGCTTTCGAGACATCCGCTACACGTTAGCAAGTTTTTCACCATTTTTATCGATCCCAATGGCGTGAGTCTCCGTGGAAACATTTTATTTGCGAGAAGCAGTCGGTTCCACGGGTGAATGACCAACATTCGAACTAGAAATCTAATTGCGAGTTGTACGGTCGCAATTTCACTCTAACCTGTCCGAAGCACGTCATAGGCGTAGCACCGTGTCCTGCGATAACAAACGCATGGCCGCGTTCACCAGCGGGGATCAAGTTCAATACGTACTCATTAATTTCAAATGATTCCCTATCTAATGTTAGTCACAATCGAGTAGTTCTCACAGGAGCAATGTGCACTGTATAATAATCTGTAAAACGATGTGACAAATTTCCTTTTGATTTCAAATGTCATTCTACGAAACGCAATGTAACCAAATGAAAACACGAATCTTTGGAATTGTTTTATGAACAGTGTTTTTTTTTTAGTTTATCACATCGAATGAAAATACGCCGTAACGATGAATCGAGCGTCGACCCTAAACGTTACAAAATAAAAGAAAAGTGCTTTCTAGTTTAGAAATCAGGGTTAAAGTGCACTCGCGCCGTCGTTAACGGTTGTACACGAGCGGCTAAAGAAAAAGTTCGTTCGTATCAGAAGTTTGTACGGTCTCTAACTGTTGGTTCTGTCAGTATTTCTATCTCGAGCACGTTTTTAGCGGCGCGAAACAGCGGACGACATAAGAATTTCCGCGTCTCGACCGGAAAGGCACAGCGGTTCGCCCAGTTGAGCCACACCGTTACGTGTGTACGGCGAAGGTAGGAGAGACAGTGACCCGACGAAACTACTTTCCATCTCGTTAGACGGCCTTGCAAATTCTCGCAGCATGATCTCCTTCAGAACAGCGCTGAATTTTTATTGGTATGAAAATCTCCGATGAAGAGTAAACGAAAAACTTTTCGAGTAATAAAGCAAAAGATATTTTATTCCTCAACATTTCTGTATCCTCCCGGCTTTGCTGCGTGGATTAATTCCGCGGAGAACTTTCTACGGTCGCATAGTGTTACGTGTGTCTTTCCATGTAACTTATAATTTTCTTTTATCAAGCTTATAATATAGCTTGAAAAACGATGTCTCATTTATATAGTGGAAATGCGTGACGTAATCGCGTATATGTACTTTCCACGCAAAGTCATATCAGTGATTTCTCTGTATAGATTTTTCCCACAAATGGTCTTACATTTTCAGTTTCTCGTCGCGAGGTCTTTTATTTACCAACGGTAGTAGGTACATGGTCGGCTTGAACGTATCATGCCAAGCTCTTCGTCACGATCGAAGATTGCGTGGGAGGGTGAATGAAAAATTTACTCGTGTGCCAATCAGCATTTTTTCCAAGGTCGTGCGGAACGCACAGCAAAGGTGCAAGTAATTACGTAATCGCGAAAGTCCAAGAGCGCGTCACTCGAAAGGTCAATGCTCCCTAGTTGCATAGTCAGCTTTTAATTTTCCTGTTTTTCACGCTCGTATCGAGTTTTTTCTCAAGTGTCGTCTGATTTTAGTCACTTGGACGCGATTACAATTTTTATTCGACAGACGATCATAGAGGAACGTATATAAAAAGTGGAACCAACGGATAAAAAGGCGCGTTGCAGCTAAAGTACTATTTAAACTTAACCTCGATTCACCGAATAGACAAGTCTCGACAAGAACATTTTAGTGGTTTTCCGTGTAAATCGCCGACACATTTCCATAAAACGCGATTATCAAAATAAGTCAGGGTAAGTGTCCCCATTCTAAAGGTTCGTTTTTCTGGAAGACATTGACCTTAATGAAGAAACACTATGGAAAAACGCAAGAATGAACGAGATAAAAGTAACTTTACCAAGCTTTTCGTTATGTAAAGAGATAGTCCTTTCATAATTGATATTATTTATGTCGCACAGCTTGTGCATCGATGCCGCCCAACCGAGGAACACGAAAACGTTTCTTTCGTATGGGATTATGTAATACACGTTGGGTTGCAAGCGACAAATTCACGTGTGTCCAAATATTACAAGGGGATACTTCGTACTTTTGGAATATTCACGTTGCTACGTTTCACTTTTTTCGTTTACGTTGTTCCATTTGGAGGCAAGCATAGACCTGCCGTGTTTACTGGAATTCTGAATCGGAAGTTCAACACGACGCTAAAGTTAATTAATTTACATAAAATTATGACGCGTTTGGTGGCATTCCATCGACAAAATTATCAATTAAAATATCCTCCTGCGTCTGATTTCAGGCGTACAATCGCAGGAAAAATACAATTCGATTGAATTGCAAGTAAGGTCACCAAAACGTTGTGTTCTCGTACATTTCCACTCGCAGCTTTGCATCCTATTAACAAGTAATCGAATTAATGTGTTTTCATCGTTCTTCTTGATTATATATATCGGTTCGAAATTTTGCCGAATAAAATTCTAGAGGATTCAGTGCTTGCGACATTTAATTTTGTAACATCGAAGTCAAGTGACGAGACTTCTGATTTCATATTTCGCACTTTCTAACGAACACTAATTATGACATGGCTCGTACTAGGATCGCGCTAAGTATTATAATTTCTTCAGTTCTTGCTAGTGATCTATACGAACCCTTGCTGCGAGAAAGGGGGTAAAAGTGATTTAAATTAATATCTTCAGCCAATAGGAAGAATACGTCCGCGTGATTTTGCCATCGAAATTGTAGACGATTATGTAAGCATTCGAATTTTAACCAACGTTTGACGAAAACATCCGCCAAAACAAAACCTTCAAATGTAATGTTTTCTTCCAAACAAGCGAAATTTATGCGTCAATCGACAGAAAATCATTTGCATATACATCCACCTGTAAATTATGACTGACTTTGTTTTTCTACTTGTATCTTATCTTCTCCGTCATTCGTTTCAAACATTCTTTTTTATCCCCGAGGAGCATCAAAGTTATAAACTTTATGCTCGAAGCGTGTGCATCACTTAATCTTAGCCGCAGAATGATCGTCGAGGCTCCTGTCATCAGGAGCGTTTCGCAAACATTGCTAGTTAGGTTGCAAAACCTAACTGAACATACTATGCGCCTAACTAGCTTCCGGAAGCTCAACGATGCAACGATAATTTACGAAAATTTCCATTGGGTGTTCACCTCGGCTGTTTACAAGTTTCATTCTCTGCTACTTATACATACTCGCTTGAGCGGAGTCTATCATTGACTCCAATGAAAACTTGTTACGTTTTTATACGTTATTTGGATTATCGATCGGGAATTTGTCTAATTTACAACGTGTAAATACGTTCGGTTCATTTCACGCGAGAGAATAATTAGTTTCGCATCGGTACGTCGCCTCAGGCGTACTCGCAAACTGAGCCAATCGCGTCAACAGAACGGAAGATATAAGCTCATATAAATCGACTAGAAAATTTCACTTCTACGTCGATTAACGTAATGCCCGAGTGAAGGTTCTAAGAACAGTGAAAGAGAGTGAAAGCAGGAATGAAGAGAGCAGCAGAAACATTAGGGAGTCATTGATCCGGTCAATCTATGCATTCAAACGAGTTCACGAATCACAAAACTCATGGCACGTGTTTCATTAGGTAACTAAGGAAGATTGTAGCTTTCAAATTCAGAGAGCCAAACGTAAAAAATGTAATTACTGAATCTTGATAAATTGATCTAACGATACTTTCATATAACGACGCGATCGACCTATTTTTTTTCAGTCGAAAATCTTCCTCGATCCCTTTCTCTATGTTTTCCTCTTATTCTACGAGCATTCGCCCACGAACTCCTTAAAAAATTTTCAAATTATCACGTTTGGATCGAAAGTTCAACGATTTTAATCGGGGAGATGCCGTTTATGATACACCTGCGCCTCGTCGCTCTCTCTTTGCTTTCTCGACTGTCGTCGGCTGCGACGCAGCGGTCGTCGATCGCAATCGATATACCGGATCGTTGCGTAATGATGTGTTTTCGCGGGTATCGCGGCGATTCGCGCGTACAGTCGCGCTACACACTGTTACCTCACTGCCAATGGCAGCGGATGATCCTACTGCTCGTGGCGAGCGCACGCGATCGCGTGATCGAGCTCTCTTGCACGTGAACCAAAGGCCGACATATACGGTTGGGGAAATGGCTGCTAAGAAGAAAGCGTGGCAGGAATGTCTTTTCAGGAACGTCGCGTTCGTTGATCGACTGGAAATTGTTTATCGTTCTGCGAACGGTTTACCGAATCTTATTCGTGCGATGGATCTCCGGAGGGTGGTCGCTGTTAGAGATCAACAAAATCAGATAACGAAATATTGCGGAGGAATGTTTAATATTAATTAGCATTAATGCTCGATTCCATCCGTTCTCTTTCTTCGCACTCTTCTTTCACGCCTTCTCATATAAATGCACTCGTTACTCACATGTTACATTGCATAATCGACGTGTTACAGATAATTAAACCGTACACGAGTGTAAATTTCACGTACAATCTGCTACTTAACGATTGCTCAAGTCTCTGATCTCGTACTACGCTACAAATGGGTCGAACAACGTGCCAATTAGCGTTTATGAATATTTTTTAATCGATTGAAACGCAGAAGCTCGTATTTATATCGCGAAACAATAGTGAGTGAACTTACTTCCATAATGAATAGCTTGTACCCTCATTTCGCTTTGTCGATTTCATTATACAGCTACTCGTGGAAGGAAATTGGTAATAAGCTGTAATAAATTGATATTCGATAAGCTTGTTAAATGCTCGTCGAGACTAACCATTAATTTCAACGAAAATGATAATTGATTGCTGCGCTGTACGTTGTTGTACCCGTTGCCTCTACTACACACATCTCGTCTACGTACTTATTTCTACAGGTTACATTCATATTACCATTTATAAAGACTATAATCATCCGTCCAAGTATAAAGCGAAGTACGGCGTAGGTGTTGTTAAGCTTAGTATACTTGTTACGAAGCGAGGATTTAAATTTAAAACGTTCAACTCGGAAATCTTCATTTTGTTTTCTTTCGATGGCACACTTCGGAGTTCAATGGCCTTCAGAGTTGAAGTCTGAATCGCGGAGATACAATGTCACGTACTTTATGGCGGCTGAATCATCGCGGGACTAATCAATTTGCTCGCTGAAGCGTGTAATCGAAGGAAGCTGTTCCGCTTTTTGCAACGCGAACTTGTCGCGTTGTGATCATTTCCAGAGCAAAACATTCCAGATAATAACGGAGCCAAGCTAAGCTTTATACAATGCCTCGAGTAATTTATTCTCGGGCGCAATTAGCGTGAGCAGGTTGTCGCGAGGTAAAACTCATTGTTTATTTACATTACTACTTTCCACACGCGTAATTAGAGGTTAGATCAAAGATCGCGATCGTTATACGACTGTTCGATCGGGATCTCCCTGCTCAGAAGTTAAACGAAGGATAACCGTCGGAGTTGATAGACGAATCGCTCCGAACGTTCCTATTCGATCAGTTTGGAGACGATCGAACTATTCGACGCATCAGCATCAATTGATCTTCAACGTGATTCCTCGTCGTGAATTCCCGCAATTGGTCATCATCTTTGACCGACGATCGTAGAACTGCAAGAGCCTGTTATTCCGTGGCTGCAATTACGCCATCCAAGGTTACGAAATTCTCATAACGATAAATAACCAACAAGTCGTAAAACGTCGTCGTCGCGAAGTAGAAAGGTAAACGATTTTTCTACGTGATCTAAATAACTGGCGCGGACCCGCCGATCAATGTAAACCTTACCGATTAGACGGTCGCGTGTGCGTACGTGATGCTTTGTAGTCTATAATCTTGTAACGCGTAATATATATTCGTACATTTTATATATCTGAAATTCGATGAGAATCATAGATTCATAGCTGCCGAGGATACTTTAAAACAAGAGCTCGTAATGGCTGATTCGAGATCTTTACAGGAGCAACTACTGGTTTGAAAAAAATCCATAGATTGTATCTAATTTAGATGGACAAGGATAGATTAGCCTTTTCTCTCGTCAAATCAGCTGGCTAGCGGTTAGCACAGTTCCGTGCACGAAAACGAGAAAGACGCGAGAGAAAGGTGAAGCGCGCCGATTGCGGTGATTGCACGCACTTTCATTTTATAGCTCTTGATGACCGCGAATTTTCGAACTGCGACATCGTTGATTCCATTACAATGGAGACGATCGCTGACCAAGGCGTAATCCTCGTAAACTTACGCGGGATAACTGATGTAGACCCACAGTTTCGTTGATATCGAGGTGTAACGGTTGGCTCGACACAATTCTTAGGAAGAAAAATAGTAAGTAGGACCTGGAATCCTTGGACTTCTTTCACGCTCGTCGATAGTCATTTGTGTATCGTAAACTCGCTATCTCTACGACTAAAACAGAGAGAAATTTCGCGCTTACCCAGCATTCGGTCGGGAGAATTCCTCTGCATACGCAGGACGTAGGAGGCAGAGGTATGCAATTGCGGTTGAGATGACGCAGCTTGCACGATTCTCGGTTTTGTAACGGGAATTTATTAGCTGCCATTTTCCGTAGATTTGACGTGCTATTACCTACCACGACAGCGAGATGAAAATTGACTGTAGAAATAGACGGATGAGGTTGCGTGCCGATGGCTGACCCCCGAACCCCTTGGTTTCTGTGCTACGAATTTAGAACAATCTCTTGGGTGATTGCGATTTCCCCAAGCCTGAAACGAAGATCTCTGGAGGGATAGTAATTATTAGTTGCTTTAATCTAGAGAGCATTCTGCTGTAAAGAGAACGTTTACGTAGAACGCTTCCGACTCTCTCGAGTTTTAGTTCACTGGGACCGATTCAGCCGATGAACACCGACCGATAAGCAGAGATTAAATCGTTACACGTATGGATCCTTATTAACACGACTAAATCGCAGAAGGTGTTAACAACACGCGTTACGTCGACCAGCTACGGACTCTTGCACAGGAATTTCGAACTCACTCGTTATCGTATCTCAAAAAAGGGGCAGACCCAGTTTTCAAATAACAAAGTAGGACGACTCGTAAACGAGCAGTGTTACAAAAAAAATTCCAACGAAGTGAACGGCGCATTATCTAAACACTCGACGAAAAAAAGGGTTAAATTTAGGTTAACGAAAGTCGAAAAACTGGATCGGCTAAGTATGCATAAACGGAGCAGCGAAACTGCTCTGTTTGCTGTTTTTCCGCATCGTATGCGTGAATCGTAGAAAATTCCATTTTTACTGATTTTTTTGCAAAAGAGTAATTAGCGAACACGTAGTTTCTTATAATCCTTTCACCTTTATACACTAGGCAAGCTTTTTAGTGTAGTTTACTTCAGCAATGTACCTAAGAAAAGCTACAAAATAGTATTGTATCGGACAAATAGTGGGACATAATTATAGCGAATAGAAAGTATTGTTCGCTGTTCTTTTGTGTGATACTATAACTTATCGGTGCGGTTTGGTCGTAAAAATGTTGAGTCACCGTATATTCAAAGAAAAATGAATCTAAGTGCTCGAACATCACGGCAAGGCACCGGGATGCTTGGTTGATTCCTATAATGAAAGATATCGTATAGTCGCCGGTGATCCCTCGCCAGAGCGAATACCCATCCCTGCAATTACTCCAGGTTCTCTATCTTTTTTTTCTCCCACTCGATAGGTGAAATGTCCAAGTTCCCCGACATTTACGATGGTTTAAAATCGCGAAACGCTTGTCTTGACGAATCAATGTTACTTCGTTAAAAAATATCCAGCGTGTTAAACTTAGCTCTAGAATCTTATTTTAGTCTTATTTTAAACGTAATCGTGACGTAATGGATGACGAAACGTTCGATTATTATCGTGGTTTCTAACGTCGATGCGAACGAAACAACGCCTGCGAAGTGTCCTTGCCCAAGGTACCATTATTTCTGTAACATTCAGCTGAGAGATAGCTTTTATGGACAATTCGGTTCCACTTGCAGCGAGAGGAAAGTCTTAACCATAATTTTACGACCCGTTGTAAAGTTAACGTCGAACGGTATTTTACGGGGATCGTTTAAATTCACGGAGTGTGTCGTTTCGGACAACAGCTAAGTGACAACGCGTTTATAAAGGGGACGAATGATCATTACAAATGTTTTTAAACAGCGATCACCTATTTTTCATCTATTCATCTGTTATCCAATGTTTCTTTTGTTTCAGTTGATTCTCCAATGAATGCCAGCAGTGGATTTCCGAACGACAGGATGTCCAACATCTACAACAATTCGGTGGTTCGATTCTACGACCACATCTTCAACGATCTTTCTGGTAATCAGGGGACGGATTTGTTTTCTACAGTTGGTCCTTGGCATTATGCGTTAATCGCCTTTCAGATCCGCGAACGAAGGACTGGTTCCTCATACGATCGCCAGTGCCTGGACTCAGTCTTCTGATCGGCTACCTCTACTTCTGCCTATCATGGGGCCCACGTCAAATGGAACACAGGAAACCGTACCAGCTGAAGAACATTCTCGTCGTCTACAACTTCCTCCAGGTCCTGGTCAGCTGTTGGCTGTTCTACGAGGGCCTGGACGGAGCCTGGCTCAAGGACTACGACTGGAGGTGCCAGCCCGTCGACTTTTCAACTTCTCCAGACGCACTCAGAGTATTTCTCATTTTAAAACAGTCATACTTGATCTCGGGTCAATTGAAAATCCAATTTTTCACCGACTAGATCGTTAGATATTTGACATCGTCTAATCGATCTTTCTTGCGAGCGCATAGTGTCTGGAATCTTCGGAAAGTTGCGATCAAGATGCATGTTACAGGTCGCCAGAGGTGTTTACGTTTACTTTCTGGCGAAGATTTCCGAACTGCTGGACACGGTTTTCTTCGTTCTTCGAAAGAAAGACAGCCAAATCACGTTCCTCCATTTGTACCATCATACCGTAATGCCGATGGTTTCGTGGGGTGCGACTAAATACTACCCTGGTGGCCATGGCATCTTCATAGGTAATTAAAATTGTATTTATCAGTAACTCAAGTCTGAAATATTATTCACATTTGTTCAAATTCGATGATGTGTATTGATTTGTTAAAGGGGTGATCAACAGTTTCGTGCACATCATCATGTACACGTACTATCTGCTAGCTGCCCTGCTACCTCAGTACCAAAAGTACCTGTGGTGGAAGAAGTACATCACGACCCTTCAAATGGTATGCATTGCAGAAACACAAATTTACTTACTCAACGTCACTTTCCTTTCTTCTTCATTTTCTTCGTCAACTCACAAACGCACAGATTCTAAAAATAAATTGGTACATGGAATGATCGCGTTCAGTATACGGTGGCGCTATCTGGCACTAAGCCAGAGAACTGTTTCGCAACGAACTTGGATGTTTTACCGTCGAGATCTCTGAAACAATTTTATAGCAATTCGGAAGAATAATTGCAGCTGTAATTAAACGTACTGCTCAACATAAAGAGCAACTATAAACAAAATTGCATACGCATCGGACATGAATAGAGTCGCACCGAAATTTCTGAGAAATTTGAGTTTTATATTAATAATAGTAAAAGGCTTGTCTGATTGGGTAAAGGGCACTTTTTCGATTCGACAGGGGCAATTTTGCTTGGCGTTCCTGCACAGCTGCCAGTTGCTGATTTACGACTGTGACTACCCGAAGTGGTCCGTGTTCCTGGTCCTTCCGAACGCGATATTCTTCTACTTCCTGTTCGCTGACTTTTACAACCAGGCTTACAAGCCTGCCGAAAACGAAACGAGGACGAAAGAGGGCAAAGAGAACGGGGTAGCGAAGCAAGCGACGAACGGGAATTTGCAAAACGAGAAGGGTAAGACTGACTAAAGTCTGGGACACGAGGAACTTCAACGACAGGACAAGATGAAGAACCGACCAGGACGCTTGCGAGTCGCCATTGGTTTTCCGTTCAACGCATCGAGGCTCCAGCTGTGAAACGGTGACGTTCAGTCGCGAGAGAAGAACACATTGCTGGACAAATAGACTGTATAACGCACCACGTTGAGTCGCAACAGAACATTTTTCCGACAGAAAGTAAAGTTTTCTCTGATCACAACTCATCGAACATCGAATGGACGAACTTGCAAATCGGCGGTAACCGAGGGGAATTGAGTGCTCTGACATTAGTTCACGAGCAACGATCGCTTCTCGATTATCGCTTTTGATTGTCCGTCGTCGGCTAACAAAGAACATGTGCAACACTCCACCCCCCTCTTTAATTTGGATTTAACTGATGTAGGATGTAAGGAAATTTAGTCTTATTAGCGATGATAATTGAAGTGAGGGGTGAAACGATTCTTCAATGGTTTCGAGAAATAGGAAATCTTATATTTTCATGAAAATTGTAAGTCTTCGACTGCAGGCGTCAATTAGATCGTTAGATGTTTAAGGTTGTAGATTTATAATGATTGCAACGGGAAAGATACTGGATATTCGGGATCAGAAGAGGAAGCGGCGCGTACACGAGTTTCATTTGGAGTACAATTCGATAAGAATTCGGTATCTCGTGTATATACAGAACGAGGCATCTAAGACAGACGACCTTAAATGCCTCGGTCTGTATAAGTTTGGGCTTCTGGATTTTTTCGTCGAGCTGCGATGATTTCAGTCTTCCTTGAGCGAGTGTAGATAGAACTGGATTCTAAATTTAGGACGAGGAAACGAAAACGCGCATAGTTCGGGGGATTGTAACGAATTCTGGGTTGTTTTTCTTGGCCTTAGTGATCGATTGGACAATAAAAATTGTTAAGAGTCAATTAAAATTCGTGCCTAAAAAGTCTTTGGATAGGCGACTGCAGAGGTGGCTCGAAATGGATAGAAAATCGAGCATTTGAAAATTTAGAATTTACAAATTGATTTATCACGAACAGTCCATGTATTCAGGGGTTACCACTTTTTCCTCTTTCGGCAATAATTTTCCATGTCAGTATCAACTTGTTTTCCCACGGAGCGTGAAACTTCTTTAAAACAATGTTGCGTCAGAAATTCTACTCATTCATCGCGCTGTTTGCATAACCCTTTAGAGCTGAAAGAAGTCAACATTACAATTGCAAATGAATGCAATTAGCATTAACAGAACACTTTCAGTCGGTGCATCCACGCGCGGTTGAACTATCTTGCGGATTGTCAGTAATCGGTAATTAACGAGACGTAGCTACGCTCACGGTTGATAATTGCTACACGTTAAATGAATTTCATGGGAGAATGACACGATGAATTTCATGGGAAGAAAGATAAAAGCTTGCACAGATGGTTCGTTGCTTTTAGTATACGTGTACGTTAACGAGACCAAATTATGTCCAAGGAGTATGATTCCTCGACCAATTAAAATAATTTTTGAATGAAAGAGATTGATCGTCGATGCAGAATTTTGTAAAATTGATCGCGGTTCTAATTGTGACTCGACGTGTAAAAGTGCAATAAAATTTTAACAAACATTAGTGGAAACATACCTGACGCAGCTTTCCCTAGCCGATTTTCTTTCATGGTGCACCTTGTGCCTACGTCTGGAGGAAAACAAGACAACTGTACCGCGTGTTTTCCATTTTTACGGAGGTATTCTAGGTACCTTCGAAAAAACTGAGGACATGTATGAAATTTTATAACATAAACACTATTTAAAACACTAGTATGAATGATTGGTTTTAAAAATATAGATCAATACAACGTCACCAGTTTGTGTGATGATCTCGACTATAAAATTGGACCAGAATAGTAAATAGTGTTTCTCTTCTCCCAATTGGTTGATCTCGAATGAGAACCGTTGCTCTTCCCAAAAGCTATGCTTTTTGCCAAAGATTCCTGGTTCGTCGACCGAAGCCCGCTGAACACACGATTATGTATCCCGGTATCCTTTTGTATTATATCAGACGACATGTAAAACGTAGCGTAGAATAAAGTTACGATTATTGGAATGCGAAGTGATTCTGTTCAATTACATTTCCGGGCGCTGGCTGTCGTTTGTAAGGTCGTGTTTTTCGCGCAAGAAAAATATTCATTATTTTTTTAGGACCTTGAAGAGTCACGAGGCGAGAGGATGGGACAAGATATTTTCAAATTTTAGATAAAGTTTAGATAAATATCAATAAATAATACCATGTATTTACATATCTTACTCCGTTAATTCCCATGATCGAAATCTATAAATATGAAAAATCCATTCACGTATCACGATCGACGGCAACGTTTTTATTTACGATAAGTGCCGTCAATCGCGACAGATGTGTTGCATTGATAAAACAGCTCGTTGGTTCGCTCAAAAACAAGAAAATCTCGTCGACGCAATAATGTTTTCGGGCGAATCGACGCGATCGATCGTATGGAGACCGATTTTTACCTGGTATTTTTACTTGGAGTTTTTACCTGGAATAATTATCCTATTTAACGTCGAGCGACACGATCCTTCCCAGTGTATTATCTCGAAATTCCGAGATTATAGAACTCCCTGAGACCATCTGAACGCAAACTATGTATGTACCTCTATCGAGGAACTGAAAGGATTGCCTCTGAATGGAACCCAGTTTCAATGGTAAAAATTATTGACTATTTTTTCTGATAATTCACGAGTCTCCAGGAAAAAGGAAACCCATTCGTCATTCGAGCAAAGTTCCATCGAAATTCGCTCCTGACAGGCGATGTTTCCTCGTCGGAGGCAATCTCTCCAGCTCCGTATAGAACTTTGGGAGATTAATTAACGGCTATGTGTTCGATTCATTGTTTCAGCGACAAAACGGAAGAAGGCTTCGATGGCGACGTTTCCAGATCCAACCACGTGCTGTTTCATCGAAAACAGAATCTGGCGTACAAAGGCTAGGTAGGTGCGTCACGGTCAGTTGGAATTCCAGATGAATCCGTATGCTCGAAGTCGAAGCAGTCTTGTAGCTCAAAGAAAAAGCAGTTACCGTTTCTCTGGGAGTGCGTGGCAACGTCTGAGGGGGCACGGCCTCCTCTCGCTTGCTTTCTTTCTCGGATCGTAGCCCAGTTGAACCAAAACCCAGAGCCTGCGGCGATCAGACTTGGTCAAGGCTTCTCCGGTGTCGCCAACCTCTTCCCGCACGTGCGTCGTACTTCTTCGACGCTTCTTCGAGCAACGCATCGACCGTGGACCTAATGGCCTAGATTGCTGCTCGAGCCCCGTTACCTCGCGCGGCTTTGCCTCGGAAACAGTGAAACCGATTTCCCCGATTGAACTCTGAATTCGTATCCTTCGGATACTGGCACCCTAATTGGTTTGACGCCGTCTGCCGACGCGCTCTGACCTCGATACGACTTCCATTTCTGCCCGTGCAGTCTCCGTACCTTTTCCTTTTTTCCACCGTTAGGCGATCGACATCCGACGTGCGTTCAAAGACGATTGCTACGGCAGACGTTCGCGCCTGGATAAAGTCATTGTAGGTATACATTAGATGCTCTTTTTCGTGTAGCTCTTCCTGTAAAAGTCGCCGAACAGGTAAAGAAAGAGCACCACGTTCGCCATGAAGAAGTAGGTGAGGGTCTTTGGGACCTTGCAGTCCATCGCGAGGGTCATCATCAGATAGCACAGCATCATGACAAATTGGACCTGTGGATGAGATAATTGACAATTGTTCACGAAGAAATAGCGGAATGCTCGGTTTGTGATCGACTTACCAGTTGGAGGCACGTCATGTACTTCTTCCACCACAAGTATTTCTTGTACTCTGCACCCAGAGCAGCGATCAAGTAGTACGTGTACATGACGATGTGGACGAAGGAATTCAAGATACCGAGCATAGCGCCTTGCTCGCCTGGTAAATACTTGACGTACACCCAGCCGAAGACGACGAGCACCGTGTGATGATAAACGTGCAGAAAGCTGACCTGATTTTGCTTCTTCCGCAGGACGAAGAACACCTTGGGCAAAAGAATTCGTTCGGTTCCTCGTTTCTCAACTGATAGGTAGCCACATTGGGCAGCATCAGGCTCGACTATTCATAAGTTGTTAGACTCACCGTGTCCAAAAGCTCGGTAAGTTTTCCTATGAAGTACCAGTAAGCTGTCGCCACTACCTGTCGAAATAAAAATTTGCACCGGTATAATACACCAAACAGGCTAGACGAGGCCACCTGCTTGTTCTCTGTCAGGGGACAATAAATTTTGTTAGCGACACTACTGCAAACATAAAGGATTGATTCGTGTCAACGCTTCAAGAACGGTATAAGAATTTATAATCGAGTCTAATAATACGAAGAAAGACTCAGTTTCCAAATTTAGACCATTTAACGTAATGCGATTCCTGTTCGCACATTTTTGCAACGAGGTGGGACAGGGTGCAAAGGGTTCGTTTTCCTTAAAAATTTGATCTCTGCTCCGTTAACTTACCGCAGTTTGGAGATCTATGTCCTTGGATGTTTGAGCCGCGTTGCATTTAGGCGATATGATTACCTTCCAGATTCTGGGATCTACTCCCTGGAAAGGAGCATCAAAACCGTGACTGCCAGAAAAAGTGGAGTATAGAAAAATGTCAGGGTCGAATTAGGACGGTGAAATCTCCAATTTAAGGTTACTGGAGAATGTCCTGATTCTTCTCACCTTAAGGGTTAACCAAACGCTGAAGACTACTTGAAATGCATTGTAGGCGATCAGCAGGGAATTCACTTGGAAGGGCGGCCTCTTTTCCATCATTTTGGGGCCGATTTTCAGGACGAACGCCAGGTAGCATGCTACGATGCAAAGCATTGGTCCAGGCGACGACATCATTGTCCACGAGTCCAAGTTAATTTCTAGAGAGTAACGGCGCTTTAGTCGTGCGCGTAAGAAACGCTATTTTCAAAAGAAACTTATAGGCACGATGCGGTATTTTAATGGAAATTCTTTTTATGTGTTAATAGAAGACCGATGAATGCCATTACCGCCAACTGTTACGCGTCTGATATCCTTTCATGGTTGTCAAACAAAATTTGCATCAATCAGCATCGGCATTGATTCGACACCCTTAAAGAGGACAAGTTCTTTTCGCGACGACACTGCCAGTTAAGTCCCATTTAGGCGAATGAATCGAGTTACAAGGCTCCAAAGAAGAGATTCGATTCGCCTGATCGAGTTTCTGTCGGTCAACGTCGTACGATGTTCACGTGCTTACCTTTGGTTATCTCCGCGAACTCCTCGTAATTGTTCACCACCTCGCGAATTATGCTGGTCATGTCGATGAATTTACTGGACACTGACTCGAACGAATTCTGAAAAGAATTGTTTAGGCATTGAAGGTCGTTGACGAATCGATGCACTTGGGCCGAGCGTAGCTTAATTAAAGGAGATTGATAAAGCACAGTGATCGAGAGCTCTAATGCTGAGTAATATTGACATAAAGACGTTGCTTCTAAGCACCTAGGAGTTCATTTATTAAATAACACTGTTGTACAAAATATCGCGAATGTATCACTTCAAATGTTTAGTCCATATACCTAATTTATCTAGAAACCTGAATTATTTTCGCTAGCTCTCTACCCAAAATTTACTAAGAAAGTTTCCAAACAAAAGAGCTTACCTCGCTTCCGTTAGATGCTGATAAAACTCACTCAGCTGACCGACGTTTCTCTTCTTTTTAAATGCCACCGCGTAAAAATCACTTCCGTTTAGGAGTCAGGTTCTACAGTCTGTCACCGATGTCCTCGAGAAAGCTACGTTATCCCTCAAGAGCGGATGATGATGAGAGGGAGGCCGCGAACCAAAAACTGATGATCTAGCGACGAAGGTAGCCACCAAGAGGACCAGAACCTCGATCTTCGTCGACTGGCCCCACCACCTCTGACGTTCGAGCTCGTTGTCAAATCGTGACTTCCTTACCTCGAACGGGGACTAACTCGACGAAAGAGGAAGGGATGAGAATGCAGGATTAGGAGGCGGAAGATGAAGCTATGAGATACTGATGAACGCCTCGTGACGCGTATAGATAGATTATCGTCGCCAGTTTCTGATAATTGTAACAGCTTCTAGCTCAAGCAAATGATTATTAAAAACCAATAATCAGCAATGCATTGGTAATAGGATTTGCAACAAAGTTTTAGTCCATTCGTATATGCCACACTGTTAACAAAATGAAAAATTGCTACATAATTAATAGGACAAATATTAAAAAACAAAAACTGGAACTAAATTACGGTCTGTGGATGTAAACCAGTTTTTCAAGTGATTTTTGATCATCATAATAATCTGAAAAACGTTATTAAGAAAAATGCAAGGTTCAAGTAGCAGAGGCAAACATTTTCTAGGATAAACACATATCCCTAGCCGAGCTGATCAACGTTTAATTCCCGAAGTACAAAGTTTGTACGATGAATGGATTAAATCAAGAGTATAGTTTCAAAACCATTGAACATTTATCCCAATGTTCAACAGAAAAATCTTTGCGAATGAACTTTCGTAAAGCGTGACGTTGCGATTAGAAACAATATGATACCTACTTAGATCGTTACAGTTTATTTTAATGTTCGGTTCGAAGTTTGAATGTCCACGGTTGGAAGCACAAATGCAGACTGAGTTGTAACTTTGATTCACGTTTCCGATTTCATCGAGCGGACGTTAGGCGTGTCGCAATATTGCAAGTATGGGCGATGGCGAAACATTGCGTGCGATTTGATTGTCAGTTTTCATAGTGCGCGACAATTTTTTAACCGATCGATAACAATGATCAAAGTAACCGAAAAGAAATAGAATAACGATGTGCAATGTGACACGCTTATGCAAATCACCCCTGAGGACGTTTGCAGAACGTCGTTTCGCTAGGATCGTGGCAGAGCTTCATTAAGGTCAGTAGAAACTGTAACGCCAGCTCTGATAAGGCACCACAGTCTGCTGAAGCTAAGTGTAACGTTGATAAAATATTGGTGCACGACTGTTTAGCATAGCTTCTGCTGGGTGGTCTTGCAACGTTAACGGTAATGCATCTCTTTTAAAGGGTTACGTACACATAGGTGCATAGCGTTTCATTTCGAGACCAGAATTCAGAGAAATTTTGATATAAGATATACCTCTTTAAGTAGATTCATAGAAGCGGTTTAGAAAGAATACTTCGAGTGTTCTAATGTTTTCAGTTCTTGACAGTTACTAAGTATATGCTAGTTAATCGTTGCTACGTTTTTGTGCAAAATGTTAGTGTATATACGACACTTATAAAAAACTTCTTTTCTTGTGGTCAAAGTGAGTGGTTCTAGTTTGCTAAAAGTTCTGTTATCGCGTCTTTGTAAAGCATTATCAAAGATAACACCTCGCAATAGCCAAAAAGGCGATCGCATTAATAAGGACCAAAGGAAAAATGGCTGAACATGTGGAATATTTGCCAGCGATGCAGTTGAATATTTGCGAAATTCGTGGACGGCTTATTTGACCGGAATAAAGAGACGCGGATTAGCACAGACGACAATGTGGATTCAAGCGTGAACTTGTTTGCCCTGTTAAAGTCTTCAGAGACATGCGACAATGACGTGCGCGTAACAAAGATTTTCTTGATTTCATTGGCTGGTTCCAATGGCTAAATATTAACATCGAACCACGACGAACCGTATTGCCAGTCAAATAGTCATCAGTGCTAATTGTCGGCTAAAAGATGTTAATGTTAACTCAAGACCATCTACAATGGTCATTTTTTTTTCTGCCCTCGCTAATGAAGATATAATTTAATAAAATATTAGTCTTCTTCACCTTCAGTCATTTTACATTCATCGAGTCTTTTTAACCGACTTCGAAAAGGAGGAGGTTACTCAATTCGACATGTATATTTTTTTCCCCGTATTTTTATTCTATTTCTCTCAATTTTTGTTTTGGATAGTTTTTAGTTTTTTTCTGATTTTATCATGTAACATTTATCACGATACGGGGAAATCAGTCTGAATGCAGTCGTTTCTGTTAGTTCTGCTTTTTGTGCATAATCCTGACATTTATTTGCATACGTTCACCTTGTATTTTGGATTTGAAATTCTTCTTGCAATTAAGAAGTCAGGCTCCTCGAAATTTTTCAAGGAGTGGAGCGTTTGGTCCCAAAGATTTTAGTATTTTTATTCCAAAATCATGCAAAATCATTTCACACATATAATCGTTGACACTGTAGATGTATAAAATTTCTTTGGATATTTTACCCAAGAATTACAAACACACTTCGAGAACCGTTGGTATTCGATGACGTTCTATTTGAAAAAACCGCTCGACCTTTGTTTATCTCGTTTAGCTATTGAACTTTGCAGTGATTTATTGACAAATATCTGAGAAAAACCCAGAGGAGCTAAAGTTGATGTTTAAATGAACCTTATTACTAATCAGCTACTATATAATACATTGAAATATTAGCAATCTTGTCAGTCAGTACTGTGTACAATACTGTTCATTTCGAAATCAAAACGTAATTACTATAATTTCAAAACTTCGAGTCAATTGGGACACTTCCTCTTCCTCCTCGACGACCTCGCTTTTTGCTGAAATTATTTCTTCATCGACTAGAACGAATTTAGATGGTTTCTTTAGTGATTCTCTTTCGAATCAGCCAATCTTCGTGATGCGTTGGAAAGTATTGTTACACGATCGTCTCTGTTAATTGTGCGCAATGCCACGTATTTCTCCGCGTGCTTTTCTCGTCTCAAAACACAGTTACACGGAGCAACAAAGTCGAAGTAGGACGACCAACTTGATTATACTACGTTGCATTTTAACTGCGCCCATGTTTTACTAGTGGGAATCATTTAGCAATAAATCAACGTTATTTTTCGAGTAATAACTGTCCAGCACTTGTCTATACATTTTGTCAGACGAGAACTGGAACACTTCTTCGAGGCAACGAGGCAAAGGTAATGGCGGCAGGACCAATAGCGATCACACTGTTGCTTTTTAAACAAAACACGTACAAGTTTTTAGAGACATCCTCTAATGGGCTTGCCGCTAAGTAAGTCAACGGGATGCCTCGTAGGCGGTGGGAAGATAAACAGTAGACTAAAATCTCTAAGAATTTCGCGCCTAGTTAAAATTTCTTGACCGAGATTCCTTAGAATATTGTCGACGAGCTCCATAAAATATGCGCAGGTCAAACATGGAGGCTAGACAAATAATTTCATGTTACTCGTTGATTGGATATCGAATAACTTTTAAACGTTATGTGAAATAATTGAACCTATAAAAATTAGTTTATAAACAGATAGACTGTTTTGCTATATTCGTAGCGGTCAAAAATCTCCGGAAGGTCATCGGAACGTGATTTCGGATCCCACGAGTGAAAACGAAGTTCCTCGTCGTTCTTGGACGCAAATGAGTAGCATAACGGCACATGCCGCTAAAACCGATTTTTCGGGTGTTTTTTTTTTTTACCGCGTCTGTCTACATGGATTGCCTTTCGCCTGGACCGCCCGTTAATGTGTCACGCAAGTAGGACAACCTGCCTCGAAAGACTCTTAACTTTACAATGCTTCTGATTTATTCGATAGCTGTGGTGTACTTCGATGAATCAAGTTGTTACAATAAGATAATAATAAACCAATTTAATATTTGTTTCGAAGTTTAGCGCCATGCCCTATACACAGCAGATTTTAAATTTCATGATTTTCTGAACAACACGCATACACTCATGCATCCATAAATGTAATCAGTTTTTTCTTCCATCCATTGAGAATGCAAATGTTTTCGGATAGCAGTACTTCTTGCCTGTTATATTTGATAGCTGTCGTGAAAGTAACACGCTGCTGGTTGTTCCAGTTCGTTCAAGTTTCGGTGCCTTGTCACGATGACGGTATCGCAACACCTGTAAAACGTTATTCGAAACGGTCAGCCGTAGGTTCACGACTGTCATGTACTGGATAGCGTATACCATTGGCCACAGACCTACTTTCACGGATAAGATGATGGTGCTAAAATTTGTGCTTGATTATGGGTCACTTCCTCTTCGTTCTTTTTTCAATTTCCTTCCATTTTCCCTTACATTCGTCCTATCGTCTCCACGCTATCATTTAACCGATTCACCACATCTCAGGAATAGTATTTATTATCAATGTACAATAAATTTAGCAGTAATCTGCGATACACGAGCCACAGAGACGTTTCTGTCCAGCAACGTTCTTCTACGACTGGTTACAAATTATGATATCGCTGATAATTTCGATTAGGTCGTTGTTAAATTGACATTTATTGATTCTTCAGGCATACAATCATTGGCACAGGGTTTGTATCCCGATCACCGTCGAACGGGTTCTCGCTTCCAAACGAAGAGGAACTTAATTCTAACGCGAACAATTGCGAACGCAAAATATGACAACCGTGCGAATTGTGTGTGTAATGTAGCCCTCTCAGATGAAAAGCCCTGCGAGAGGAAAGGGAAATGCTTATTCTAAGGGATTGCGTCACAACAACAAAGTAAACAATCGAGTCGCTGACACGATTTATGCTGCCATTCGCGACCTTAACGCGTTTATAAATCTACGATGAGCTTGTAAATTAAACTATTAACCCTTTGCACTCGAGGCATTTTTTTTTCTGGTATCTACCAGCGACTCGCGATGCTTTCTAGCATTCTATTCCTACGAATGCTAAGCTTAGATTGACTTCGGTAATAAGATCTTTAATTTGAGATTTGAAACCTAAACAAATATTATTGCTGATTGATTTTCTGCGTCGAACCTAGCGGTGATCGAGAGTCACTTCTCGAGTGCAAAGAGTTAAAAATGTAACAGATATTTCTGAAAGAGTTTAAAATCACTTAAAATTTAATAAAAATCCCTGACATTTTTCAGGGTATTTCCTTTGAGAGAAAAATAGTACTTGGTTATGGGTAGGATATATAAGTGGCGAAGGATGATGAACGAACTTAAATACAAGGATGAGATCGGAGATATCTGCTCCATGTGCTCCGCGGTGAAAGGATTTATGCGTTTTCTACCGTATCGACTTCAACACGTTTCGCTGATCCTACGAAAGCGTTTAACCCTCCATCTTTGGGATCCTCTTCTGAGCTATATCGCGGGCCCGAAAAATTACGAATCATGTTGTAAACTATAGCTCAAAGAATCGAGGGAATCTTGTTTTAAGCTGTGCAATGAGCTTGTTAAGAACCATTGGTCTAGGGTTAAGAGTTTGAGAAGAGTTGAAACCGATCCTGTCTCCGAATAGAAATCTGCTGGTACATGTACCTTTGGCGATTGTCTTTATTGGCTCTTTAGATTTCCGTTCGATCCTTCAGCCGAGAAACCATTTTGCGCGACCTTGGGGCGGGGCTTTTTTATGTAGGCTTTGTAATAGAAATCGCTGAACAGGACAATCATGAAGAGGTTTTGGGGGATGAGCACGGCTGCCACCCATTTAGGGAAACCGCAGTCGTCCACCCAGGCCAGTAGTATGAAGTGCACCAATATGAGAAAGAACTGGGTCAACTGCAGCTGGGTGATGTACTTCTTCCACCAGGGTTTGCTTATTCGGAAGGACGTCGCTAAGTAGTAGCTGTACATCACCACGTGAACGAAACAGTTGATCGTACCTGCAACAACGAGTTTTTTAGTCGGCCGTCGATGGATGCGTCTGCGATTATTGAGAAGGAGTATCTCACCTAAAAATGTGATGTGTCCTCCCGCCATGAACTTGGTCGCCGTCCAGGTACCAAAAGCCATCCCCGTGTGGTGGTAGACGTGGAGGAAGGATACTTGGTTCTGTTTCTTTCGGAGGACGAAGAATACGGTGTCCACGAGATCAAACATCTTCGCCATGAAGTACATCCAGACCGTTCTGGCTATCTGTGATTGACGCCACACGCATTTAACACACTTGCATTATCTAATTCGATTTATGGAACCCAGGGCGATACAAAAAAACTTTATGGCTATGTAAGAGATGTGTAGAGTCAGTCTCTGTAAATATTCGTACCCTTTATGTCTATTGATGAAATTTGTCTAAGTTAAATGATAGGTTTAATGTTTTCAAGTCTATGTTTGTATAAATATGTTGATATATGTATTCATGTACAAATTTGTAATGAAAAATTCATTTGATTGCATCAAAACTATTATTTAATTTAGTTGAACATCTTCAATAGACATAGAGGGTATGAATATTTATGGGATTGACTGCATGTAAAATATCTCATTTCCATTCATTATGGTGGTAAAATATAAATAAAGTCTATTGGAGTTTATTTAGATTGTTTTAATTTCACATTCAATTATGAAATAATAGCCGAGTGACACGAAGTCGCTTCTGTGTAAAATTGCCGGTTAACAATGTGTTAATTTTGTTTTCCAAGCTAGAGTCCAAAGAGATCTGTACGTATTTACCTCGAGCGCCCGAGGATCATTGGAATAATCAACTGGCTCGCAGTAGAAGCTGTAATGAAATAGCCAGGCCAGTATCAGCGCCTGAAAATATAATGCTCGTCATGAAGATCTTTGCGTTTGAAACGTCAGTGACGGTGGAGTGAACACGGTTACCTTGTATAGCACGTATGCGCAAAATACTATCTGTATCATGTTGTATATCTGAATGACTCTGTCGAGTTTGAAAGGCTTTCTCTTCTCCATGAGTCTGGGCCCTAGTTCATGCACGAAGTACAAGTAGAATCCTATTATACCTAAACAGGCCCACGGTGATCCAATCAGGAAGAAGTCCTGCGTCCTGGGATCTTTGGAGAACAAAGAAATTACGATGTATTCGATGTTTAGAAATTGTTGAGGATTATGTACCACGGTAGATAAAAAGAATCTATTTCGTCTCAATTCAAAAGTGTACTTCATACCACAAACGCGATGTATAACGTTTAAAGACTGTACATTACGCAAAATGAAATATTAATATTTCTGCATTATTTTGCATGGATTCTACAATTCCATCACTAATAAATACGCAAAAACTGCAGTTTATCGTATAAAAGAATTTTTTTTTTTTAGATATACAAAGGACACCTAAACAACGTCTCGGGTCCCCTCAGATCTCTGAGAGGCCCCGGAGGTATCTGTACCTGAGAGTTCGTCGTTGACGTAGCGGTACATCTCGCAGATGCGACGTATCAACAACGCCATGTTGAACGAAACTCGAAGTCTGACGGTGCTCTAGCTAACTTTCACGCAACACTAGCAGTTTCTCCTGGGTCGATTTTCCACGCAGAGAACGGTGATCTCGAGAATCGAACAGAGTTCTCCGGTACTTTTGTCGTCAGTCGTTGAATACCCTCGTCGTCATCGACGTTTGTCCGCGTTGCGAGAAAAATAATCAGAGAAATGAAAGAGGACGGACGGCTCCTGTCGTTCCACGTTCAACTTGTTCGATCCGAGGACCCTCAGGATCGATCGCATCCGTCGACAGACCGCCGATCCAACCAATCACCGCGAGAAATTAAAGCAGACTGACAAAGCTTCTTTCCCCCGTCAAAAATGCTGTCGTGAAAACGGGCAGCTATTATATTATAATTAGAGCTGCGTCGGGGCTATAGCCCACCTCCCCGCAGAACTTGATGCCGCCAAGACGGACATCGTCGATTCTTTCCGCCCAAGGGTGTACGGCCTTAAGTAACCTCGGCCGAGGTTAACCTATGCTCCCCGCGTGAATTTTTGATCAGTTCTATCAGTGATTAGACGAGTCTTTCTACTTCACACCTATCGTTAATTTCGAGACCTTGGTCGTCGGTTTAACATCTAAAGGCAAAGAGGTCGCCTCTCATGCGTCACTTGTTATGAGAAATCGAATAACTCTGGTATCGTTGCGCGATCTCTGAATGACTTCATTCACAAAGACTTCGAAGAAATTGATGCCAGGACTTTAACTCTTACGTAATGTTTACGCGTGTTTTCAAAATTAAAAAGAATTTTTTTTTTCAGATGCTTATATATGCAGCAAAGGCTCCATGTTCCTGCTGAACGTTTCAGGGTTTCAGATGTGACAATTTGATCACGCGTCGAGTTCTGCGACGTCATTTTCCAGCGAGCAAAGCAGATCAAAAGGTGAGGAGCACCTAGTCTGGAACAGGCTTGAAGTTGCCGCTGCTTAAATACAGTTCTTCGCGGATACGACCTATTACTCCTTAAAACGATACAATTTGTTTAGCGGGCTCCGCGCTGGTTGTCGCAATCGCGTCAGACATCCGGAACGGAATAGGTAAGTGTTCGCTGCTGCGCAACACCGCGTGTCCGTCGCAATACATCCTCTTTTATCGTACCTGAGCAGAACGGAACTGCACAGATATTATTTCACCTGCTGCTTCCGAGAATATCGATATCGACTAGGAATTTTTAGCTATTTCGTGAAAACTGAACGAAACTACCCACTACGGAACGTAAATATATGCTGACTCTTAATGTGCCTTTTTTTTTATTAACGTTTACTTTCACAGAACTTGTGGACACTGGTACCATTTCTAAGAAAAACATTCCAGACACGCGAAAAATATATTAGCAGCGTCGACGCGATGAAGGATCACCACGAGACGAAGGAGTAATAAAAAGTTCGTGGTAAGGAAGAAACGATACCTCGAAGCGGTGTGCCAATTAAGACTAATCGATTGTACGAACGGTACGGCGCCCAACTTTTATGCCCTTGCATTTCATCTCGTATCAACAGACGCAAGTTGATGAGCGTGACTCGTGAAGAGGAATATTCCACTTTTCAGAATTGTGACACGCTATTGACGTCATGAAATAGGATGGAGATCGCTTGCGAAATGAGTTCGAGAAAGACTGACCTAAAGTCAATCCGTTACCGTGAGAATATCAACAGCTCGCTGAAAACGGTTTGACGAAAACGCGGTATTGTATTATATGGATCCATAATGTGGAGCTAATAGGCAGTTAACAGTCTAACGGAAATAGAATCTGTTCCCTTGCAAAATAATATTTGCATTTCAATTTTCTCAAAATATTTGTTACGGGGAAACAGCGTGGGGTGACCGTGTGTTGTAAAACCTCTTTGCTCTGTCGAAAGTTTTGTAAACTGTTGTATTCGTAGCATTGTTTTCTTGTGTTGTTTTCTTCTTCTTTTTTTTTTTTAAATATAGTTAATCCTCCGAGGAAACATACAATGAAACGACGGGTAATTACTTTAATCACACTTTTGCGCCGATTCAACGTGACGTGAAAATCACTGTAGCTCGATTCGCGTCTCGACAGTGTTTCAAGTCGTCTAATATATGCGTGACAAGCCGCTTCCGGAGGGCAAGCCAGATCTTCGATTATTTTCGAAATGTAATTTGTTCGAAGATGAATTTTTCAAATGTTCAAAAGTTGTCACAACAATGTCAACAGTTCGATACGAAAAATGCTTTCACGCGCAAACAAATCGGGTCGACAGTGTAAGGGGTATGTATTCTTGTTTGTTTTTGTCGCAACAAAATTGAAAATATTTCAAAGCAGGTCGTATTCCACAGCTCAACAAATATGTGTAGAGGAAAAGTTCAAATTCCATCGGCGTTTTTCGTAAATAATATAGCGTTTATACCTCTATTGCGTGGTAGAATAAAATTGACTCGCGAACTCTTATCTCTTTTCGATAAATGGTGCTATTATCCCTTACCGTTGCAAGCTCTTATTTCAATCACGAAGTCATCTTTTGTTCCTAAATTTATGCCACGACGATAAATGTTAACGTTACATAACGACGGTGATTATACTTTATGCTTGATTCACGAATCTGGGTTATTGGCCAGCTTAACAATGCCAGAATTTCGAATTACAGAATTTATCGAATCGCGCATTGATGGTTGTGACATAACGGGAACGATATAATCCTGATGTTTATTTTGTTTTCTATTGCTATAGATTCGATACGATTTACGTATTCAATCTCCTCGAGCAAACAAGTTAACCCTTAGAAGAAATTTAAAAAAATATCAATATATTTATTATTTGAACAATTTATTTTGTTAACATTTGTTTAAAAGAACATTATGCAATAGTAACACACACACAGCCAAATATTAAAACAAACCAATTGCAAGTGTACAATTCGATATAATAGTTCGGTTTAAATTTAAAACTTATGGCATTTAAGGGTTAACGGTAACTATGGTATAATCGTATCGTTCTCTATATCGTTCGATTATTTATTTCAATTTATTTTCAGTTTGTACTAATGCTTTATCAGTTCTGATCCAAAGTCGGAGAAGTTTGTCGTCTACTACCCTTAATGGGGGCAACGATGCATTTGTTAATTCCCATTGTTTGGGTACCTACTCAACCGCGACTCCTTCTCCATTGATTTCAACGTTTTCCCCAGTGAAGTCTCTCGCATCGTCCATGTGATGCTCGTTGACGCGCGTGACATGGCCAGCTTTTAATTTCCATGGTCGGTACTGTCGAGTCAATACCGTCGAGTGGCATTTTTAGCATGAAGCGGATGAAGAGGTCCCCGGGTCTCATGGTCGAGACCTTTGACGACGAAAACCGTCGATCGGTGAATAATCGATGATTCGTTGGCATTGAACGATCGAGGTGTTTTTCACCGCAAAACTTAGCTTCGACGTCGATTACTTAGGATTCTTAAAAAAGAAATCAAGCCAAAAGTTTCATTCAACCCTTTCAGTTCCAGCGATAAATGTATTATCGCCTTATCATCCTCATCTTTGAATTATTTCGACTATCTTGAACGTTGATTACCGATTTTTCGTTTTCTCAGAATCAACATTACACGAATGAAATTCAGTTTTTTCTTCATAGTTCGTTCAGTCTAGTTCATTGTAATTTAATGTAGATTTATTTATACTTTCAGTAGTGCGATTAAAGGTTACTGATATTTAACCCAGATTAGACGTGTAGCTAATATACCATCGGTATAGACGTAAGTAAGCTTAACTAGTGTAAGAAAATAAACAAGAGGATCGAATACGTACACGTATAAATATGGCTTCTTTATTGTGAAACATTTCAATGGTTATGTATTAGTGCAAATCCGGAATACTTTCAGAGGTTGAATAGCCTATTGCAATGGATCTCAAACTTTGGTCGGTTGTTTATAGGTACACTAATAAGTTAAGTTTGAGAAACAACGTTTCATTTAATTGCTAATAGATTCACGATTCCTCCAACCTTCGTACGCAGCAGCCGTATAACTCAAATTCATATATCAATAAACAATAAGTATATATACATGTATTACATAGTTTCGTACAAAAAAGAAGAAGTATTCCAGTATCGAATTGTCCCAAGAGCTTCGATTGTCGGACCTATGAACGTCGTTGTCGATCATTCTCGCGTAACGCGATGAAAGAACAAATATGTACATACATTCAGCCAGAGTTGGGCAAATCTTAGCACGAATAAATTTACGAATAAAACGTAAATATAAATTAATTCTCAGATGAATTTACAATTTTTATTCGTTATTCGGAATAAAATTTGTCCAACTCTGCATTCAAACACGGCCGTAAAAGTGTTTGTTGCTTTATCGACTGATGAGCAAAAACTCGTTGGATGTGATCGAGTCTCGAGCCGGTCGATCGTTATGGCGCTCGCCTCGACGATCGATTTCTTCGTTATCGACGCTGAGAATCGAGCGTTACCGTGCGAAATCGATAGTGTTTCCAGTCGCAGCACTCGACGGGTCTCTTCGTTCGTTGACGATAATGGCGGAAATTTCGAATGTGTTCGACTCGACTTTCGTTAGAAACGGTAACCGAATGGTTAAATAATCTCGAAAAAGACGGAATGAGATCTGACACCCCTTGAGGTCATATCTTTAAAACCAAAATCTGATGTAACCACCGCAATATTAAATATAAAAAAGGAGGCTCGCGTCGATCAGCACAGTGCATCTTTTATTAGAAACAATTAAAAAGCTTTCTTTCTGAAAGAAGATGCACCACGCCGATCCCTGTGAGCATTTCTCGTTTGATTAGGTTGTGAGAAAAACGCAAAGTGTTAGCATTCGAGGTAAAAGGAATTTACGAATACACGAGAAAGCTATGCATGGTGTCTCAAAATACATAGTGCATATAAGTAACTTAGAAGCGGTGTGTTCTTATAAAGGAATGCGAAAGAATATTATTCTACATTTTCCACAAATCTCTTCTACAAAAATCATCTTTACCAGTTGAAACTTTGCATCTCGTATGGGTTGTAGGCAATGTTTCAGATTCTATTCCATCGAATTAGCGACATAAGCAAATCAGTGATGGAAAAATGCTGTTAACTATGCACATCCAACGGCTATACCGGGTCTCACGCGCGACCATAAATTGTCCGTTCTACGATCACGAATGGACCTCGAGGTACCCGCTAAATGGCGAGAACGACACGGTCCCGTCTCTCCCGTAGAAAACCGACAACAAACATTCCATCGAATCCGTCCATCTGCGCTACAGAACCTTGAACAGCTAATGAACATGAACGGGTGGTCCATGGTCGACGGAGAACACCGTCTGGAGGCTGTCCTGGACGTTTGTCGAGCGATTCCGCTTCATTCGGCTTTGTTCTTCCCTTTGCTGCTGTTCGTGCTCGCTTTGGCGCACTCGTCGTTCACGGCTGTTTTCGCTCTACAGGATTTTATGTAGTTCTCCACGTAGAACGATCCGAACATGTAGATGAACATCACCGAGTTCAGCGTGAGTAAGAATGCGATGAATTTCGGATAGTTGCAGTTGTTAAAGAACAGCTGAACGCTGTGGAAGAAAATGATGGTGAACTGGATCAGTTGCAGCGACGTCAGATGCTTTTTCCACCAAAGGTACTTGTTCATGTGGGGCCCCATCGAGGACAGCATGTAGTACGTGTACATGATCACGTGGATGAACGCGTTGATGACGCCCAGCAGGGTACCGTGACCGTTCGGCAGGAACTTGCTCCCAATCCAGGCGCACATCGGCATCAGACCGTGGTGGTATACGTGGAGGAAGGTGATCTGACGATTCTTCTTTCGGAGAACGAAGAACACCGTGTCCAGTAGCTCGATCAGTTTGCAGACGAAGTAGAAGTGCACGGCGCGGGCCATCTGTGAATTGGAATTTTTACGGATGTTAGCATCGACAGGACCTCTGAGTGCTTTCTAATCCTAAATTTCGTTTCAGATATTGTTCCGTTTCTGGTAGGACACCCCGTGCATTGATCGTCATATTCCATAGCCGGGGTCCGCGTTTCTGGTACAACATCATATAAACAAAATACGACTGTTTATGCAAGCAAGATGACAAAAAACGACCTCACTTAGTAGCAATCTTTCTCGGTCTCTTCCGTCTTGAGTAAGGTCGCAACATTATGGAAACATGCGAACGTGGGTGAAATTACTCCCGAGGAAGCGAATACGTTATTATTCTAACTACTTCTGGTAAATTGAAGTCGTCTTAGAACGAGCAAGGTGAACGAAAGACCGAGGGGAGGAATGGGGCTCGTCCTCGATGGCGGAACAATTTCTGGAACGTTGCTATATCTAACAGTTCCTCCAAAAAGGAATAATTTCTACCGTCTACCTTGGACACCTGATCCTAATGCCTCCAGATCGGTAATAATCGGTTCTGAAAAGCTACTATCTCGAAATGTAACTCACGTACCCTCATAGCGTTAGGGTTGTCCGAGTAGTCGACAGGCTGACAGGTATAGCTGTATTCTGTCAACCAACCGCTCATCAGACCCTCGTAGAAGAGATACATGCTGAGCAGGACTTGTATGAAATTGTACAGGATCATAGCGTTCCTCAAGTCGTACGGCTTCTTGTCCCTCATGTACCTCGGCCCAGCGGATACGCTGAAGTAGGTGTAGCAGACGACGATCATGAGCAACGGACCTGGCCCCGACATCAGGAACCAATCGCTGGTCCTCGGATCTGAAATGTAAAACCACTTAGTCCGTAGCGGACGTGAGGTTCAGAGCAATAATAAACTAATAACGTTTCGTTACCACTAGCGTTGTTCATGAGGTCCTTGTACCACTCCACGATGCCCGACATTGTCCCCGATTCTTCCTCAACGGATTAATCTGCAACAGAAGCAGCAGTTTGGTTGGATTAATACAGGGATCTCAGTTTTAAAACGCAAAATGGATAGTCAAGAAATTGCTGCGATCTCGTAATCGATTTTACACTAGTTTTTACAGAATATAATACAATCGAGGATCGTAGTAATCAAACTTATCTCTTTCAGCTACCAGGTGGTAGGATGAATGCTAGACTAGAGAAACTACTCGATGATACAACAAATCAGAAATATATACAGCATCGATTATCAATTTAATCAGTAATCATGCATTACATTCGCAATCTGCAGTCATGAATTAGTAATTTATAACATCCGAGAGGTAATCATTTCTGATTATTAATTGCCGATTGTAATGACTTTTGATTAAGCGTAATCACGGACACATTTTCCCCAATGCTGATTACAGTTACAGCGACGTGATTCAGAGTCATCGGTACGTAATAAGCCTGTTAGCCCGGTGATCAGAACGCAGTTGTCCCTGAGGACTATCGAACACGGTTCATCGATGCTCGCCTTGAGTGAACAGCGTTGGAGGAAATCAATAAGCAAGCAACGAGGAAACCTCCGTTATGGATCGACGTAATTGCGGTTTCAAGTGAGAATGACTACATGGCGTCCAAAAATTCTTTTTATTGTGCCTTTTCATCGAAACACTGGAGAACACGTCTGGGTATCGATACTTCTCACAATTGTTTACGAGATAATCAATACCCACAAGACAAAAATTGAGACACAGTTAGTGTGGCATATTATCCTTTAATTTATCCCAGTAACTTATTTACAACGCTTCCCGTCTCGTCGCGTAACAGTCGAAACATCTTATTATCATAATTTCATACGTAATTGCGTTGTTGGCACAATTCATTTTTCTAACGAAGCATGATGATTCAGTAGTACATTCCTTATTCGGAATATCATACAATGAATTCATGTTTTAGATGACTAACAGAAAATCGTTATTTTCGCAGCTTCACATATTTCTTTTTGTATGAAATAAACTTTTTAATTCATTACCAGGCCTAATCACCTGGTGAATGCGTAAGTGAAATTTGTTGATCGCCTCACCGAGCATCTTGCGTATAAATAACGTCAATGTGCACATGTCTCCGAACTCCGAATACCAGCAAGACCATGATATATCGGAGCACAGTATTGGGCGGCCCGGTATAGATTTGGGTCCTTTTGAAAGCGTGCAAGTCACTCAGGCAAATAACACGACCCTGTCTGGCTGTCTGAAAGGCCCTGGGGTATTTCCAGCGAAAGGTGATCCTGCGTAAATGATCGTGAATCATTGAGATTCTACGAACACGATTCGTGGAAGCGCAAAAATAATAGCGATACGCGGCTGGTTGCTCATCGAGCCGCGTCCTCGAGCGCGTAACGTAGTCGCGGGAGCAATAAACGTCGAATAATTATCACCACCTCCTAATTGCACCCCGGATAATTATGTATAGCGTGCAATCAGTCGTGCCGCGATTGTTGTGCAGTAATTTTTTCCACCGACCAATTGGCCGAGTAGATTGGCTGTACCGAGAGTCCTACTAAAAGTCCTGTCCATCCCCTCCTCGATCGAATGGGACGAGATCATTAGTTCAGTCGCTTTCGGTTTGACCGAGGAAAACCTGCTGCCGAGCTAATTTTTTGCATACACTTGTACATTCTTACAAACAAAAACTCGATATTGTCATGTCACGTTACACGGTAAACGGACGACTATGCACCATCATCACTTAACACTTTTCTTTAGTAGGGAACTTGCTTACTTTCATTTTTCATGAGAATTGCCGCAATAACTTCCAAGATATTCATAAAAAATTCACGTTTTACACCCGATATAGGCTGTGAAATATGATCCATACATGGATCGATCGTGATATTTTAAATAGATTGTTTCTAAAGACTTAATAAAGTTATACATACGCAAATGACACTCTTTGCTATGGATTCTCTTTAATGTTTTTTCTGTCTTGGAGAACCAGGTGTTTGTGGCCACGTTGCAAAACTGACGGGGTTAGTAAGTCGACTCGATTAGTTCGACGAAGTCTCGATCGAGCGTATTTTAATAGATTCCGTTTCGTCATTTGAAATGTGTCTAGGGTTCAAAGACCAGGGTTCGAATACCCGAAACAATGAATAATGCGTTCGATTACGCGTTTCGTGCGAACAAGCAGAGAGTAATATTGTGCCAGGGTTGATAAATAATACATTTCAACGAAACAGCAATTACACGTTACTCTGTTTAACCCGCGACTAATAGTGTACTTCGTTGCAAAGTCCACGTTGGATGGACGAAAGTCAGACGAATTTTATCGATGGTGAGCTATAACGGGAGGAGGTTAATTGGCGACGCAGGGAAAACGAAACGCGTTTCGTCATTGCGATATGAGAGGTATGTCGAAATCAGCGGCAAAAAAAGAATGACTGGAGTGCCAGAGGCGGATCGTCTGGGAGTAAGAGGATCGCCTGAAACGAGGGATGCAGTTTGACTCCAAACTTGCAGATGGTCAGTTGGAAGGGAGCCAGAAACCTCGTCTGGTGGATAGTAACCAGAGACCAAGGTGAACGGGATCGTTAATGCGTGATTCTTTCTTCTCCCGTGGTCCTTTTCACAACATCTCTGCTTGACCAAAATACCTGGACGGTCCGACCAATTTTGTTTACGCGTGATTCCCCACAACAAGGGTTCCCCGTAGCGTCCCGTTTCGAAGAACGTTGCCCCCAGGTGCCTAGGATTCCCCTGCGTTCGAGTAAGCACGTGACCCCCCATTTGCATTCTTAAACTCACCAAGTCGATTCTGGTTGAGAGTTGGACGCTCCAAAAGAAGAAAGCACTCGATTTTCGTGGTCTCGAACGAACGAAAAATCTCTGTTCGCTTCGTACCACGCTTAATAAATAAGACAGAGCATGTATGGAAAAATGCAAGGACAAACCACATCGTTAAAACGGCTCGAGGAAATAAAAACTGATTGGTGGTCAATTAAAATGTTGAATGTTCTTGAGGAATATACTTAAAAGACATCGCTTCTGTTGGCGATCCAAGCGACATTCAATTTCGTTATTTCGGAATCGTTTGCGAATGTTTTCGTACACGAGAATAAAAAAAAAAAAAAACTCTAAACATGTCGCTCTTAATATGAAACTCTCGCCTGAAATATCCCAAGGTCGAGTATCCAGGAAATGCAAGAAATGCAATTCTTTCGACTGGACAAAGCGAAAACCGCGTTTAAAAGCCAACAGTGACGAAAACGAAACGGAACGGAATGAACACTGGTTTGTAGGGCATAACGAATTAGGAATGTGGTAACGGACTTTAACTGCGATATCTATCGCGAGTGCGCGCACCTCGTTCCTCAAGGACGCGGCAAAGTTGCTAAACGCGTGCCGTAATTCGATGATAACGAGCTGTCAAACCGCGGAATCGCGTGTGGCAAGCACGGGTGTCGAGGATTGATCGCTTCGCTAGTATCGGGGCTGTTATTAAAAATATTGCTAACAGGCCGTTCTATCCTCGGTGACCAGAAAGGGACGGGCAAACGAACGGTCACCGAGTTTTCGTCATAGTTGATCTCTGACGCAACGAGAAAGCCTCGCGTTCACGTGGACGCGGGAATCGATCCCTGGCTGCAATCTCGATTCATCGTCGTCGAAGGTATTGGGATCGCGGTGAAACCACCGAGTAAACAACGTGTACGGAATGTTCCCAGTCGTTGCTCACCGCGAGGAAAAAGATGGCGTCGGGGTTCAAGGCAGGTGAATTCCGCGAATTTCGTTTTCGGAGCAATTCGAGCCGTGCCACCGTCTGTGCTAAATCCCACGCGGATCCTTGAGCAAGGACCGTAGGAGTAAAGTGTAGCAAACCGGTTGCACGGTAACGGATTTCGCGTTCCGCTGCTCGAAAACAGTGCGAGCCTTTCGATTCGGGAGTCCGATCGATACCTGTAACGCTGGATCGGGTATCGATCTCATCGTAATTACATACGATATGTCACCCTGTTGCGCCATTGTTTGTTTCAACGGTAAGCGATTTAGCGGGTCGAGCGCGTGATGCAATGGATTATCGTTACTGCTATTTGTTAACGTCTATCTACATACCGCCACTGCACACGGGCTGTGTCAAATTTCTTATTCCAAGTGGGATTGGAAAGTCCTTTACCGTTTCGCCATCTCCATATTCTCAAGACTTTATATTTATCCGTTTTGGATCCTCAAAGTTTGAGTCTTTTTCAAATTGTACTACTTAACGAGCATTTACCGGAGTTCAATATTAATTGTTTTAAAGTAAACAGGAGAGTGTCTGAGTTAAAATTTTCACGCGTATGGAAGCGATCAGCTAACTGGGAATCTCATCGATAAATTTGACCCCTTTGCAGAAAAAGCATATCGTCTAGAAGAATGAAAAAATTCTTTCCGGTGGTAATTTATTCTTATTAAGCATATCAATTAACAAGTTTGTTAATAGCTGTTCTTGGCATTTGGGGAGTTTAAATTCTTGGCCGATATAACTGTGCGTGGCACATTTCACAGCTGCACGCGTGACATTGACCTTTCCACGCATTGGCGACCATGTGCCATTTTGAAATATTACGTAGTCCGTGATGAATAGTGTTATTAGAAATTTAATCTTCCTTTTGACTGGAAGCATAAATGATGGGGTCCGATGAAATCGTACCCTTCAAGATGGCTGTACTTCCCGTTCTACGAGCCACCGTCGGTTTTAAGTTAAATCTCGCAACGCCAATACTATTTTGACTAACCTCGCTGAAAGAATTATTCGGGGAATTGGTTACCGATTTCCAACTTTCTAAGAACCCGTATCGCAACCAAACTGGTTTGTAAGGTTTTAGGTTGCGAATAAACAGATTTGCTAACGTATCATTAATTAACGGTTTGAGGCAAAGTGAACTGGTCTACTTTGTAATATTTTGTATTTTTATTCCTGAGAAGTTTGACGTATGTGTAGCAATAACTTTGCCTTTCAAACTGTGAGCCAATTTTTTCGA